TTAGGGTTGGCAAACTGGCTCGTCGTTCGCGACCAGCTCGCGTTCGGTTCGTGTTCGGCTCGTTCGTTAAGAAACGAACACGAACTTATTTCAAACAAACTAAATTTTAAACGAACTGAACACGAACACAAGCTTTGTTCGTTCGTGTTCGGTTCGTTTACACCCCTACGCGCATCCAATGCTTCCTTGTAGTTGAGATTTACATTAACTTGGCCTCTGTTCAACTTGTTCTCTCCTTTAGCTTGGGACCCAAATGAACATTTATTTATTGCCAGCTTATTAATTTGCAAGTAAGATTACTTGTTAAGAATATGTTTAAATTCACTTTTTATTGCGTTCCGTCTCCATTAAGACGTAAATCCGGAATTGATAAATCCGACTGTGAGTCAGATTTAAAGGATTTATGGATGGGAACCTATTAAAAGTTTTGATTCAAATGTATGTTATATATTTTATTCTCTCTACTTGAACCTAAATTTCTTGAAACTTTGTCTTCCAGCAACGGTCAACTTGTTGCATCTGTTATTATCTTTGACATACCTGGTTTATCTGGATGCTAGCAATGGGGTTTTACATGCATACCACTCGATTCCTATGTATTTTCATATCGGGCACCTAAAAATTTAATTTTTACATGCATGCTGCTTTACCTATGCATGAAAAATGTGTATTTCGCATTTTAAAAGTTAAAATATTGATATTTTTTATATAAAATGAAAGATTTGGGAGTAGGAATGTAAAAAAGTAAAAATTTTGGGAGTTGGATATATAAATACATAGGAATTGGGTGGTATGTAGTTTGCAAATTAAGGTTAATTTGCAAGCTTTTGGACTCGAACGGGTGGTTTGATGGATTATAGTTTTAAGTTGATGCATATTACAAGCGCATTTTCTGTCCGGACTTCTGATGTTGTTTTACGTGCGACAGAGATTATTCTTCAGTTATTTTCAGATTATTTCTGGGTTATTTTCAATAATCCCGAAATAACCAAAAAATAAAGGTTATTTTTGGTTTATTTCGGGACTATTGAAAATAACCTAGAAATAACCTGAAAATAACTCAGGAATAACTTTTGCCGCACATAAAGCTATGTTAGGAGTCCGCACAGAAAAATTAGGCGTATCGGATTTAATAACTTTTATGTTCCCATAACCGTCCATTAGGTATGGTGAAGCAAAGCTTAGGATGGGCGTGTGTATTTGATTGATTTGATTTATGATTTAGTCAAAGCCAATTGATTTTCGTTGAAAAAAGTTTGTAAAATAGAATTGATTAAATTATTTTCTAAAATGTGTTAAATTTAGATGACTTGTTTTTCTCCTATTTGTTTCAATTATAGGTGAACCGAGATTGTATTAAGAAGAATGTCAATAATTGTTATAACTTTAGGAAATTTACAGAAATACCACTAGGGCTGTCAAAACGGCTCGTTCTTCGCAAACAACTCGTGTTCGGCTCGTTCGCTAAGTTAACGGGCCGAATTGGCTCAAAATACTACTCATCAAATATATATATATATATATATAACCAATCAATTATATATATATCTTTGATGAGTCGTATTTAAAAAAAAAATAATTGACTGCAAGGCTACAAAGATTTATAATCAATTAAAAGTATTAATGAAGAAAATAGAATAAAAATTGTTTAATCAGATTCAAATTATGTTTTAAATTTTGCTACAATCCTTAACATCTTATTGCTACGTGATTAGAGTCGTCAAAATGATTCTTTGTTCGTAAACGGCTCGTATTCGGCTAGCTAAGCAAACGAGCCTAACACGAACACACTTTTTGAGCTCGAAATATAAACGAGCCGAACATGAGCGAAGCTTAGCTCGTGTTCGGCTCATTTACACCCCTAAATACCACATAATCTAAGGTATTTATATTTCTAACCTCATCATGCTGTTACTTCATAAAAATAAATAAAAGCTAAAATAAAGGTCCTGATTTTGTTTATCTATTTCACCTCTCATGTGCTTATGAATTGAAGCCAACAATTTTGCGGAAAGTTTCGTAGAAGTCGTATTTATTGACGCTGCTAATGATTTCAGAATAGAATTGAATAATTTGTAGAGCAAAATTAAGCTGATGCAAAGGAATATATCAATTCATAATAAGACATTTTATCGACTCAATTCTCATGTAATTATAATTTTACATATTTAAATTTAATTTTTTTACTTATTTTATTGGCATAAAAGTGTATATTGCATGTTTTAAAAATTATAATTATGATATTTTTGATGTTATATGAAAGAAATGAGTAGTATGGATGTAAATAAAAAAAAATAAAAAAAACTTAGGTGTTAGATATGTAAATACATGAGAATTGGATGGTATCTAAATGCTTGGGCGGTGCGGTCTTGTTGTTTGTGAATGCTGGGCAAGTGAGTCAACCCGAACAAATTTTTTGGAGCTTGATTTATAAATGAGCCACACGAATGAAGGTTTGTTCATTCGTGTTCGGCTCGTTTTGACTCAAAATTATCAAATAATTAAATAATAATATTTATTCATATCATTTTTATATTAATTTTTTATATTATATTTTAAAAAATACATATAAGAGACTTGGGTGGTATAAATGTAAACAGGTAAAATTTAGGTGTTAGATATATAAACCGATAGGAATTGAAAACCGAACACGAGTAAGTGTTTGGCTCGCTCGAGCTCGACTCAATTACACCACTAGGGGTGCGAGTTTAATTTGGAGGAGCCACTTCTGCTCTGAATGCTAAATTTTAAGAATGCATCAGGGCTAGTTGGTATTCGTAGTGCTTCATAAAATCGCTTGGTTTATTATATAGAAGTTGTGATTTCATTTATCATTTTAAACCTCATGCAATCATCTATAAATCTAATAATAAGACTGCAAAGATAACATCTTTTTGAAATTTATATTAGAGTGCTTCATTCCTTTATATATTTGTTTATTTTGCAATGCCTTTTTATCTTCACACAGATTGGTATATATATATATATATTAAGCTCGCTTTATTATAATGACATAATTTGAGTCCAAGTGAGTCCAGATCATGCACTTAAAGTTTAAGAAAAATGGAATATATTTTATCAAATGATCTTCAAATTTAACATGTTTGTAATCAAATAAAGTGTTTCGATAAGACCAATCTAATAAGTCTAAGCTCGATTAATTCTGAAATCATTAAGGTATTCAAATACCTCTAAAATTACATCTAGTCAAGAGAGTCATGCTTGGTCGTTCGATGGAGTAGTACGAATTCATGTAATGTTTACCAAGAATGCCGCTTCCGAAATATATGCATAGAAGACCATTCTTTTCAAAAAGGGGGCTAGACTAGGAAGAGATATTGAAGGAATCTCCAAGCTCTTGAGAATTTTCGAGATTCACCGCCACCAGACCATCGCCATATCACAATCGCACCCTCGATGCTGAGCTATCGCCACTCTGTTGGACGACCATCATCTGGCTACCACCGCCACAGGACTACCGTCATCTGAATGGCACAAAGTCACCACCATCACTATTAGACTAACATTGTCAGGTTGTCATTGTTGGACCACTGTCGCAGTGCTAAGCCACCAACGCATTGTCATTGCCATTGTGTCAGACCACCTTCATTAGGTTGTCGCCCCCAATAAACCACCATCACCCAACTGACGCTGAATTATTGTCGTCAGTCAGCAGGCCACCACCACCATCATGTCATTGGGCCACCACCACCACCTACGAACAACCATCGTCAGACCACTATAGTCGAGCTACTACAACCACTAGCCATTGACATTGAGCCATTGTTGTTGGCTTCAATGTCGTCAAGCTGCCCTCACTGGACCACTACCATCATCATTGGATCATTATCTTATGATCACCATAATGGCGTATCACCATCGCTTAGTTTTCGTCACTGTTATAGTCCATTATCGTCATCATAGAATCACATCTCCCGTCTGCTACTATGTTGGATCGTCCCCTATTGTTGTTTTGGTAGATCATTGATGTCATCAAATCAACATCTCTCGGTAGCTATCGTCATCAAGGCAGACCACCTTTGTCAGGCCTTCGACATCACTTATTGAGAGTTTTATCTTCTCATTTATTCCATTTTACTGTAAACTTTTCAAGATCATTCTCTTCATATGAAACCCATGAGAAGTTCTTTAATTTTTTTGATTCTCTTCAATTATAATTCCAGCATTCATGGGCTCATTATATCTTATTTGTTTTATTGAATACATCATATTTAATCATGATTAATAAACTATCTAACACAAGTGTGCATTAGCAAGAAGAAGTTACTATGTACTTAGCTATATTTTGACTATTCTTGGACTATTATATATGTATTTATCTTTTAAGCCTCCATTGTTAAGAGTTGAATCATGAAGAAGATGGGATACCTAAAAAAATTATGAGGAAAAAAGATAGGGTTATAATGGTTTCTACAATATGAAGTTAGGCAAGAGCATGTGCAATGAGTAAATAATATTCCAAATTTATCTCCTCTGTAATAATTCTCTTCCTCTTTGTAGAGACTAAAAATTCAATCCATATGATGAACTTTGATTCTATTGTTGCTACTTGGGCAACTTTCCCTTTTGTTGCTGCTTAATAGTATTGACAAATCAAAAGCTTTTTCATATAAATGGAAAAAAAAAATAAAAAGCATGAAATTAAAGAATGGGTGTGAGAAGAAAATAATGGATTTGTTTGGTTGTATGAGAAAGTAGTAAAGATGTGGACTTTTCTCCTAACTTAATAGAAATTTATCTTCGTAGGTTTCTCCGATCATCTATTAATATGCATTTATGATGGTGTTTCTTTTTTTTTTTTCTTTTTTTTGGGAAAAGTGAGCCAAAAATGTAATATGCATGATTCGAACGTGCAATCTCATTGTAGGAAATTATACTATCAACCACTATGTCGCAGATAAATTCACATTTATGATGTTGTTTTGTGATATATTTGCAATTGTAAGGATTACTGAGATGCATTTGCTATTTCGAAGGAGTGATAATACTCATCAAGAAATAAGATAGAAGGGCTATCGTAGTAAATATGTGCATCTAGTGGAATGCAAAAATGTCTCTAGCGAAATTTTTTCCAATTGTCCCTTGTAGATACTTAGGGTATTATCGTCATTTTACATAGAAGTTCCCCTTCTTCCTCTTCCTATAAATAAAACCTGCAAGCTCCCTCCACCTTCCATTCAAGTCTAGATTCACAGTCCATAAACCCAATGGCTCTTCGCGTGCTCCTCACCGTCATCTTCCTCCTCTCCCCTGCCGCCACCACCACTGCCACATCCCATGCTCGCTTAGGTGAAGAAATCCCTATTTTCCCCTTAGCCGATCCCGCCATCCTCCAAGCCCTCGGCACCTCTCACAACACCATTCGTTTTGCTCGTTTCGCTCGACAGTAAGGCTTCGTAAACGGTTACGTTCATCTAATTTCTTTTAACAACTACTTTTGTAGGATTGGAGGAGATAAGTAGTGATTTGAAAAAAATAAAATTTGTTGTTTTTGCAAAAGAACTTCAGAAGACGTTCGCTCTAACTGAACAAAGCTTCATCGCCTCCTCAAACGAAGCCAAAATTCCTCTATCAATATATATATATATATATATATATATGAATTTTATTCTTAAGATAATTTTGATTTGATAAACGGACGGTTGTGATTGCTCCGAAGGTACGATAAAATATATGATTCTGAGCACGAGATTCAGAGACGGTTTGAAATATTCAACCAAAATATGGAGCAAATTGAAGCCAGCAATCAGAAGGGTCTCTCTTACAGTCTAGCGGCCAACAGTGAGTAATATATTTTTCTTTGTGATTAAATTCCAACCGTCGGATTGAATAATCTGATAGTGTTGGCCGTTGGATCAGAATTTGCTGATTTAACGTGGGAGGAGTTCAGAGCGCGCTGGTTGGGAGCACCGCAGAACTGCTCCGCGGCTCATGGAAATCACATAATGACTGACAAGAAGCTCCCTAAAAAGGTGATTTTTGAGCCGTAGATTTCACGTTTGGTTAATCATAGCCGTTGAAGTTCGTTGATGCTGGGTAACTAAAATGGCCTTGCAGAGGGACTGGAGGAAGGAGGGAATAGTAAGCCATGTGAAGGACCAAGGGCACTGTGGATCCTGCTGGTCCTTTAGGTAAGACTAAATAAGATAGAATTACTATTAGCCCCCCAAGATTTTATTTATTTATTTTTGCAAGATTTTTGTGTCTTATACTAAAAAAAGGAGCCTAGATGTAAAAAAGAGATGTTTCTAGCCCTCAGTAGTTTATAGCAATGAGCCATATGTAGGAAATAAATGAGCCGAATATGAGTGTGTTCAGGTGTTACTAAATATGCCATCATATTTAACACAACTTGTTTACAATCATAAAATTTACTCCAAAGTTATATATAAATTATATTGGAATATAAATGTCGTCATATCAATATAGACATAAATATATACATACATACATATATCGTTAAATGTACATATGAGCATGCTGGATAATAAAAATGTATGTGTGTGTGTGTGTGTATGTGTACGTACGTATGTGTATGTTTACATATGTCTGTGTGTATGTATGTGTGTATGTGTATATGTGTATGAGTGTGTCTGTCTATATATATATATATACTTAAGTATGAGTGGTATGTATTACAAGATTTTTATTTATATACATAAGCATTGAGTATTAACTTTGTATAAAGGAAGGTTTGGGTGAGAATAGGGTTGGTTTTGGGGTAGGCATGAATTAGTTTAAATTCGGATATATTGAATGTCTATCTAATTTTTTTACTAAACTCTTTAATATCATATAATACATTTAAAATTTTGCTCACTAAATTTAAGTATTGAATAATAAATTAGTAATAATTATAGTGTTAATTTATTAATAATATTTATAATAATTTTAAAATTTTCAAGAAGATAGAAAGTCTAAAGCTTAAGAGGCATTTACATAAATAAAACATAATTCATATGTATTTATTGACATATCTCATACCTAAACTTTCATATTTACACACATAACACCCATGCAAATTTGTAACATCACATAAAAAAATAATACTATTATCACTTTTTAAAAGAGAAGTACACATTTCATGCATAGATTTTTAATTCCCTATTTATACCATATTTTGATCTCCCATATTCATCCAACTATCCAACCACAAATATAAAAAAAAAAGGAAAATTATGTGTAAAACTCAATTCTTACAGGTCTACTTATCTCACACGTAAACTTTCATTTTTAAACACATATCACTTTACTTGTGTATGAAAAAATGAATTTGACTATTTAAAAGTGGTAATGAGTGCTACTTTTCATATGATGTATGTAATTATGAAAGTTTAAATGTGAGATAGGTAAATATGAAAGTTTTGCTTTGATAATCCTATATATCTGCGTTATATAATTGACAGCGCGACAGGAGCATTAGAGGCGGCCTACACGCAACTAACCGGAAAACCTGTATCTCTATCTGAGCAGCAGCTTATAGATTGCTCCACTGAATACAATAACTTTGGATGCTTGGGTGGCTTCCCTTCTCAAGCCTTTCAGTACATTAAGGATAATGGGGGCATTGAGGCAGAAGAATCTTATCCCTATAATGCCTCTAATGGTGCATGCAAATTTAATAAAACGAAGGTTGCAGCCAAGCTTATTGATTCCATTAACATCACAATGGTGAGGATTCTCTTACTTTCTTCTCCTCCATTATTTCCACATTTTAATTTAGATACACCTTAACTTTTATATTTACATTTATAAAACTCAAAACTTTAACATCATTATTAACTCTTTTAAATGTTAAATACATGTATTAATGTAGACATATGTTGTATAGTTTGTTGGATCCTTCATTTATTAATTAATATGGTTTGTTGGTTATAAGCATATATTTCTCCTCAAAATTCTCTGCATAATAAACCAAATGAGAGTTAATTATTTCCCATAGGAGAATTTTGGGACTTTAAATTGAATGTGTTCTCTAATAGGGCTCTGAAGATGAGCTGAAGCATGCAGTGGGCATTGTAAGACCGGTTAGCGTAGGATTTGAGGTTGTCGAAAGCTTCAGATTCTACGAGAAAGGAGTTTACAAAAGTAAAAAATGTGGAAGTTCTCCAGAGGTATCACTACGCACATACGCACACATGATACATATTAGGTACGGAGTCTGCATGCATACGAACTCCTCGTACAATAATATTGTACACATGCGTACAACGGCATAAAATATTATCGTACAAAGAGTCCGCATGCATATGAACTCGGCACATAATATTATCTCTCACACGCACTCACAAAACTTTTTAATTGTATTGTTTACGAAACATGGATTTGCAGGATTTGAATCATGCGGTTTTGGTGGTCGGATATGGAGAAGAAGATGGTGTGTCATATTGGATCATTAAGAATTCATGGGGAAAGGAATGGGGGGATAAGGGATACGTTAAGTTGGAGTTAGGCAAGAACATGTGCGGTGAGTAAATAATATTACAAATTTATTTCCTTTTTTAGTCTAATAATTTCTACTCATATTATGAATTTTTGATTCAGGTGTTGCTACTTGTGCATGTTACCCAATTGCTGCAGCTTAGATTGATGCTGCTTCTGTGAAAATATAGTGTTGGCGTATTAACTAAAGGCTATTGTTATGGAAGGAAGAGAGAAAAAGAGAACTAAAGATTGGCAATTAAAGAAGGGATGAGGGAAGAAACAAGGTGGTGTGTTTGCCTGTATAAAAGAGCAGTAAATATACTGCAGAAGAAATCTGTCCTCTTCGGTTTCACCTACCATTAATTAAAAGACACTTATGATGATGCTTTGCTGTGTTGTTGCATCTCTTTCCGCGTAAAAAGGTCGGTTGAAGTCAAGCCACTTTCGGCTTGAGCTCGAGTTCATATATATCTATGAGTTCAAGATGGTTGATGAGCCAACTTATTTATTATCAAAGAGAAAAAGTAATATTAATCCAATAATGTACTAAACTGAAAAATGAAAATTGAAACTATGAGATTAGTAAAGAGATTATTTGATATAAAATATTAATTATAATTTTTTGATTTTTTTAATAAATTAAAGATAAAATTTTAAATTTTAATATATTATATATTAATATTTTTTTAAATAAGTGGGCTCATGAAATAAGAAATTCGGACGGGGCTTTCTTGAGCTTAACTTGTTAGCTTATCAATTGAACATAGTAAATGAGCTGTTTATAGAGCAGAACCAGAACTCGCTCATGAATCAGTTTGGCTCAGTTGCATCCCAGCTACATTTATTAATAAAGCTTAATGAACTGAATTTTTGTATTAAATAAGAAACATATGTTGTTTTGATTTATATTTGCTGTTAAATCAATGATTGGTTAATTAAAGATGCCAAACGAAGGGCATTGAGAGAGAGAGAGAGAGAGAGAGAGAGAGAACTTTACACACACACACACACACACACACACACAAACACACACACGTTGAATTGTGCCACTCACATTGACTATTTGATAGTGCAGCCTAGCGTAAGTCTCCTGGGTTCACATGTTCAATCCCGTCTGAGTGCATCTATCTTACAGTGCGAGATCAAGTAGTCAGACACATGAGGGTGGTTGGGGCTTGTATCATGGCCTCCGACTATTCTTATATACAGACATATTGGATCCAAAAGTGTCTAGGAAACACACTCAAGGAATGTAACGTTATGCTAGGAAGTGATTAAGAGAGAGAGAGAGAGAGCAGTAGTAGACAAAAAGAAGAGAATGACTTATTAATGATATAGACCCCTATTTATAGACCTAGATCTCAATATTACAAAAATACATATTAGCCCCCTCATTATAAATTTTTCAGAGAGGATTTTTAACAATTATAGAGTTATTTACATATAATAAGATCAGATGTTGATTCAATTGATAAGTTTTACTAATCTCCTAGTAAGCCTTGATTTGATCGATATATATTCCAAAAGAGTGCCTCTCGTGATCATCTTAAAGGCTGATTACCGCCCTGCGGGAGCTTCTCCTGACACCTTTTACCGATCATTCCGACAAGTGATTTGTTGAGAAAATTAGGGCGAAGAAAACAATAACGACACAAATCCAGAAGAACACAGAGATTTAACGAGGTTCGGCAAAGATGCCTACGTCCTCGGGAGCAGAGCGGCGAGTTCCTTTCAATATTCAGAAAAGAGTTTACAGATTCAGGGATTCCTCCTGGGGTTACTAACAGGCCTATTTATAACCCCAGGAGTAAACCTAGGCACAATATGTAATTACAACATTACCCCTGTACCAAACTGCGGGGCTTTGCCCCCCGCACCCCAACCCACGTAACTTCCCAATTTGGACAGATTCTTCCGCTCCGCTCTGCTCCGCTTCGATCCAGCGTTTGTCCCGATATGGTATATGAGCCATACCATAACAAATCTCCACCTTGGCGAATATCCAGCCCCTTAGGAGAAAAATACCTGGGAGTTACACCTGCACCACTGTGGGTTGGGCCACCATGCTTCTCTAGCAACTGCAAACATTCAACAAGTCCAAGCAATGCAAGAACTTGTTGATAGTAACTGGCTTGGTCAACATATCAGCTGCAATCTCATGAGTATGAACCTTCTGCAACGGTATCTCCCCAGAAGCAATCAACTCTCTGATCTTGTGATACCTGACATCAATGTGCTTGGTTCTCGCATGGTACACCTGGTTCTTAGCCAGATAAATAGCACTCTGACTGTCACAATGCAACTGAACTCCACCTTGCTCAACGCCCAGTTCCTTTACTAGCCCA